AAGAAAAGAAAAAGGGGCTGGGGATTTAGCTCAGCAGCACAGCGCCCACCTGGCAAGCGCAAGGTCATGAGTTTGATTCCCGGTACTGGAAAAAAAAAAAGAAAGAAAGAAAAGAAAAAAAAAAAACCACTGATAATCCAGTCACCCCATCGTGAGTCATGGAGACTTTATGATCACTTTGCTCAGGAATTGGTAAAGAGTCAGGTGGTAAATATTTCCAGCTTTGCCTGCCATATAATCTTTGTCCCAACTACTCAATCCTGTCATCCTAGTGTGAAAGCGGTCAAAGAAAACTCAGAAGTGAATGACCAACCAAGGACGTGTGTCAATAACCTTATTAATGGACACCAATTTTTGGATTTCATGTACTTTTTATGTGTCACAAAATAGTATTCTTTTTTGTTTTGTTTTGTTTTTTACCCCCGATACTGGGAACTCACAACCTTGCACTTGCCAGGCAGGCGCTGTGCCACTGAGCTAAATCCCCAGCCCCTAGTATTCTTTTTTTGATTTTTTCCAACCACTTAAAAAAATGTTTTTGCAACCGGGCGTGGTGGCGCACGCCTGTAATCCCAGCACTCGGGAAGCTGAGGCAGGAGGGTCGTTGTGAGTTCGAGGCCAACCTGGGCTACAAAGTGAGTTCAAGGCCAGCCTGAAATGCATAGCAAGACCTTGTCTCAAAAATACCAAAAAAAAAAAAAAAAAAAATGTTTTTGCAATACTGAGGATCCAGCTCAGGGTCTTCGCACTGAACTACATCCCAGAGCTGTTTTATTTTTATTTTGAGACAGGGTCTTACTGAGTTACTAAGTTGCCTAGGTTGGGTTCCAGTTTACAGTCCTTCTGCTTCAGCATCCCAGAGTTCTGGGATTACAGGCCTGCACTACTATACATGATTTGTAAAATTGATTCTTAATTCAAATTTGTATACAAACCAGAGGCAACTGCTGTCTTTTGGGAGTGTAACTACTGTGACATTACTGGCAAGATAGGGCTAAAAGGGTGAGGAGGCCCGGATGGACCTTGGCCAACCTCCCCAGAGGAAAACAGCCCAATCTGAGCTTCAGACCAGAATGAATTTTATTTTATTTTTAATTTTTAAAAATATTTATTTACTTATTTGTTGTCTTTTTGAGACAAGGTCTTGCTATGCAGTTCAGGCTGGCCTTGAGTTCACTTTGTAGCCCAGGCTGATCTCTCCTTTTTTTTTTTTTTTTTGGTACCAGGAATTTAACTCATGACCTCAGGCTTGCCAGGCAAGCACTTATGCAGCTGAGCTATATCCCCGGCCTGCCCAGGCTGGTCTCAAACTTACAGTGATCCTCCTGCCTCAGCCTCCTGAGTGTTGTGATTATAGGCGTGTGCCACTACGCCAGGCAGACTGAATTTTAGATAAGGTCGGTAAAGAGAAGGAGGTAACTTTACGGCTACCAAGGGTGCAAGTCACAGAAAGCATAACACCAAAATATATAATGCAAAAACCACAAGGTGGCAGTGAATAGTAACTACCCAGATCCAGGCCATAGGAACAATGACACAGGATACAGATGATGGAATTTTAAAACCTGGTCTATTATACAATGGAGGGATTAGACAGCAGATTTGAGCAGGTTGAAGAAAGAATCAGTGACCTTGAAACTAAATTGATTGAAATTATCCAGTGTGAGAAATAAAAGGAAAAATGAACAGAGGTTAAGGAACCCATGGGACACCATCCAGTATACTCCTTTCTCTTTCTCCTGGAAGGACCAGAAAAAATGAAAAGTAGAAAAAGGTACTTGAAAAAATCATATTTAACAACTTTCCAAATTTGGTGAGAGAGATGAGTCTACATATCAAAGAAACTCAATGAACTCCAAGTAGGTTAAACTCAGAGATATACACTGAGGCACATTATAACCAAATTGAAAGACAGAAGTTTGCAGCTGTAGCATGCTTGAGGCCCTGGATCCAATTCCCAGTGCAAAGAGAAGAAGCAAGAGAGATTTATGAATGAGGGAAGGGGATCCTGTATTTAAGTCTAACAGCACATTTTTCACCAAAAACTGAGGCCAGCCTGAATTACACAATGAGATCCAGTCTCAAAACAAACAAACAAAAATCAAACACAGAAAACAGAAAAGGAGAAATTAGAAACAAGACACTAGATATAAAGAAAACAACCAGCAAAATGGCAGAAATATATCTTTTCTTATCAATATTTTTTTTCTTTTGTAGTGCTAAGGATTGAATACTAGGCCTTGAGCATGTTAGGCAAATTTTCTATCTATAGGGAGCCATACAGATAGTCCCAGAAATTTCTTCAAATTATTAAAATTTCCAGTCAAAAGTCAGAGATTGGACAGAATGGATAAAGAAAACAAAGCAAAGTAAAAAAGACTCAGGCTGGGTGTGGTGGTGCATGCCTATGATCCCAACGCTTGGGAGGCTGAGGCAGGAGGATTAATTGTTATGAGTTCAAGGCCCCCTGGGCTCCATAGTGAATTCAAGGCAAGAAGGCAAGCCTGATTACTCAGTAAGATCCTGTCTCAAAAAAAAAAAAAAAAAGAAAAGAAAAGAAAAGAAAAAATATGGTAGCTAAGTGTGCTTGGAGTTGTTTCTGCATCTTTTATTCTGTTCCATTGATCCTTGGGTCTGGTTTTTTGTGTTTTGGGGGTTTTTTGGCCAGTACCATGCTGTTTTCATCACAGTAGCTTTCTTTCTTTCTTTCTTTCTTTTTTTTAATTAAGTCTATTAGGGCTGGGGATTTATCTCAGTGGCACAGCGCCTGCCTGGCAAGTACAAGGTTGTGAGTTCGATTCCCGTACTGGAAAAAAAAAAAAAAAAAAAAAAAAAAAAAGTTAAGTCTATTGGTACATTTTAGGTACACATAATGATCACATTCATCATAGGGAATTTTTTTTTTTGGTACCAGGAATCTAACTCAGGACCTTGCCAGGCAGGTGCTTATGCCACTGGGCTATATCCCCGGCCCTTATCATAGGGAATTTGTACCTGTCCATGATATATCTTGATTCTTTCTTTCCCCATTCCCCTCCTCTCCCTTCAACTACTCTTCCCTTCCTTATTTACAAAAGCTTTGTTTACATTTTTTCCTTCTTTTCTTGTTTTTTTTCTTTTTCTTTCCTCTCCCTCTCCTCCCTCTCTCTAGTTCCCCTTCCCATTTGAACATTTTCTTGCTATTTCACAATCTATTATATATTTTGGTCCTTATTTACACTTTTGGTTTCTCATACCAGCAAAACTAGGCAGTATTTACACGTGTCTGATTTATTTCACTTAAGAGTATATTCTCAAGGTGTATCCCTTTACCTGGAAATGTCTCAAGGTTTTTTTTTTTTAATTTCAAGACTGTTTATGGCAGAGTAGTACTCCACTATATAAAAGAACCACATCTTCTTTATCTATTCATCAGCTGATGGACATTTGGGGAGTTTCCAAAATTTAGCTATTACAAACTGTGCTGCTATAAACATGGATATCTATATCTATATCTATCTATCTATCTATCTATCTATCTATCTATCTATATATATATCCATGAAGCATGATGCTTTTAATTCTTTTGGGAAGATACCAAAGAAGGGGAATAACTGGTTCTAATGGGACCTCTAGTTCTAGTTTTTTGAGGAATCTCCACACTGATTTCCACAGTGGTTGTACCAGTCTATACTCCCACTAACAGTGGAGAAGGGTTCCTTTTTCCCACAGTCCCACCAGAATTTGTTATTGTTTGATTTTTTGATAATTGCCATTCTTTCTGGAGTGAGATGGAATGTCAGGGTTGTTTTATTTTTTTATTTTTATTTATTTATTTTTTTTGAGACAGGGTCTCACTATGCAATTCAGTCTGGTCTTGAGCTCACTTTGGAGCCCAGGCTGGCCTCAAACTCACAACGATCCTCCTGCTTCAGCCTCCCGAGTGCTGGGATTACAGGTGTGTGCCACCACGCCCAGCTCAGCGTTGTTTTAATTTGCATCTCTCAAATGACCAGTGATGTTGAACTTTTTTTTATATATTTATTTGCTGTTTCTACTTCTTCATTTGAGACGTATCTATTTATTTCAGATGTCCATTTTTGGATTGTGTTTTTAAATTTGTGGGATCTGATTTTTTTTTTCTTT